AGTGTGTGTGTGTGGCGGAGGGAACATTTCGTGGAGGTTCCACTGGAGGAAGAAGAAGGAGAAGTGCCTGTCACTCCAAATATTCAACACCAACCTCAAAGTTGTTCCGCATGCCAGATAGCTTGAAGGACAAAATTCCGCATTTATTCCTTCTCAATGCCCGCTAGCTATTTTCACGGCTCTGTGTTCCATTCATTTCGCCCAGCTGGCATCTCCATCCAGGTGGCATTGACACCCCTGTAAGGAACATTTGTAAGCAGCACATAGTTTGTGCTGCCCTATTTGTTAACGCAGCTTCTGTGTGCCACAGAGGGTGGATAATTTCCCAGGGCAAGAATCAATGACAACCCTTCTGTTTGATGGTAGTCATCACAGCGCCTTCCATTAGCATCGCATAATCCACTGAGTACTTCCCTTTTGAGCTGTGATTTGCTTTCCGTTGCCACCGATATTGCACCTCGAGACTGCCTTGAACATAAAGAAAGGCATGATACTGGAGTGCCATGCGCGTTGCAGTCGAATGGAAAAGATGAAGGACTATGCGACTTTTCCCCGACTCAATTTGTCCTGTCTGGGGTGCACTCAGGGAGCCTCAAAAGTGACCTCAGGCCTCTCAGTCGTTAGAGCTTGTACTTCCCTCTGACAGCAGGGCTGGAGAACTGTATACGTTGATAACCAACTCGCATCCATGTTGTTGACAAGACCTACAACGCTTCAGCAGTTGGATTGTCGCTCCAAATTAAAGGGGAGAAGTCTCCTAACTACATATTTTTGTTGATAAAATTGGGTTCCAACACCAAGTTTCTACCGAATCTAATATCTTTTTGCCTCTTTTTTTCTCATAATAAAATCGTGAATATACTTCCCTATGCCTAATGTACACCACTAGGGCTTGAGGATTGCATCTTAACCTGTCATTTGCCTGACATATCAGTTAATACGAACTGATCTTGAGCCTGACATCACGTTATCCCATTTAAGTGCCTTTATCCTTGCAGGTGCTAATCTTTGAATTCCCGCCTTAAAAATATGCCCTTCGCCCATAATCTTGTCTTAAAGTATCCACAAGTATGTGTGAAGTCCTAACACACGAATGGAAAGTGTGTGTTCGGCGTGGAGAGGGGAACATCTGGGACGGTTCGGACGCCACGCTGTTCAGGCTCATCTTTTCTAGAGCAGTTTTAGATGAGAAAAATTTATTTATAACGCATCATTTGGATGAGGGATGTGGTGTTTTGCAGAAGGGTTAATGATTTTTTTCAAGAATTAACCTTCAACATCGAGAAAGGAAGCTCAATTTGAGGAGGTAAGGTCACTGACGGCCAGGTCCGATTCAAAAGGGATTGCCATTTCTGCGTCACTGGCTAGTTACTCAACTTCTGCATTCCAGAGGGGAAACATCTGACGTGAAGTAGATGAGTTATAAAAACCTCGTCTACCCCTGACGATCACCTCGTACTTATGGACCAAGAAATGCAACTGACCAAGAATTCAGGTGAAAACTTTTCTACAGTCTTTATGTATAGTGTAACTGTACTGTGACATCTCCAATAGATGGAAGGAGACCAAAGAATACTTTCTGATATGGTTGAAGCGGTGACATGGATTACGGTGTGTATGATTAAATGATTTCTTACTTTCAGTTAACTTTCACGACTGCCGCTTTTTATTTGTGAGTATCGCGTGACTACATTGCGACTACCTTTCAAAGGAAAAGAAAGTAGTGCGACATTTTGAGATTCACTTAGCTGCACACTTAACAAAGTGGGTTCTATTAGTTGGAGGTTCTACTGCCATTGCAGAGATTTGTGGTCTCCAAGACCTTCTGTGCATCAAAACTGCACATTCTGCTCCAGTATGAAGCCCTCTTTTGTCTCAGTGGCCTGAGAGAGCAAATTCGGTCCAAAACTGCAAATATTTCGTGTTTCACTGTTGAATAAAAAAGCTGACGGACTGAAGGTGGGGGATCTCGCGATGGCCCAAATACGCAAGTCAATAAACAACGCCCCCTTTTGACAGCCACTTCCAAAATCGCGGGAGCTACGCCAACTGCGACCTTTAACTACGAGTGGTAGTTTGTTCTTGAGCTGCTTAGGGTGTCTCCACAGTAATGGCAATTAAATGGATACGCAGCGCTTCCCGCATCCCCTTCGCCTACCAGAGTGAACACAGTAATTGAATGGTCTGACATCACTGTAGTGGGATCAAAGCATCAAGAAGGGTCAAATGCGAATTTTGATCCTCCACGCTATCTGACATGTGGTTTGGGCTGACAGGCATTCTTCTTCTTCTTCCTCCTCCACCAGTGGAACCTCCACGTAGACCGAAATTACATATTCACTGCAACACTCAAAAGGCATCGATGCAGTTGTCGAAAAATGTTCCCTCCGCCACACACACACACACTCACCTCCCTACAATCAGTGGCGCGGTTGGCTTCTGCATGGTTTCTTTCTTCCGCATACACTACACATATGGTAGTGGATTCAGAGGCTCATCAATGCGAGTACCAAGAACGACAGTCTGCGAGCCACGTCGTCAGGAACTCCTTAGTTCCTCTGATATTGTATTGTCGTCTTTCCAGCCTTGAGAAGGTCCGGAAACTGGATTTGATCGACTGTTCGCGTATGACACAGGGAAGCCTCAGAGGCAGCGCCCCTTAGCACACCACTGAAGAAGAAGAGGAATACAACTGTTGTTTGGTGGTACACAAGTTCCTCAGAGGCATGCGATTCCTTGATGTATATGGAAGAAGAAAAAACTGAGGCAAGTTTTTGAGCCTACTGTTTACCATTTGGAAGTACTAATTTTCCAGATCTCTAGACATCACTCTGACACCAGCGAAGACTAGTACCAACGCTTGGGGCTGTAATCACCCTCTGCAAGAGGTCCACATGACTCCCTAAGACGCCTAATAGGCCCACATAGACAGCGCGGTATCGAGACCCGCCTTTCAGCTATCCATCACCATAATGACACATCAAGTGGGAGACAACTCGTCTTGGTGGTATTGCATCTTGTTACCACACCCTCAACAAGTGCCACAACAACTTGGCTCAAGGATTCTCTCACCCAATACTACTTTTCCAATTCATTAACTGAAAGGTGTGACCACCGACTCCCACCAAAAACCACAGCGAAAAGTGTTGGCTCCAAATATGCCACTACACAAATAAGATGAGTCAAATAGGGATACCAGATTTTACCTTTTTTTTCAAATCAGATTAACTTGTAGCTTTCGTTTGGCGACAGCAGCAACTACCACAATGACACTGGAGCAATGAAAGGAGATGCAGCACCATTAATAGTGCCAAAATAACCACTTGAGTGGAGTGTAGACATAATTTGATTAGGATCATGTCATCCCACTGTATTTTATACTCAGCAGTACGGTAGCTCCATCCATCGCAGTCGTGGGTGAATATGTTAACACTGAGACAGCCTCAGTGCTGAAGCGCATCAACTAACAGTTTTTCAAAACTCCCTTGAAGGGTTAGCTTTTATTGCCTCCCTGACCCTAAAGCACTTTCGACGAAGACCACAAAAAAGTTTACCACAGTCCAAGGTCAACAAAGCTGACCATGGTTTTACCGTTAATAAAACGCTCCCTTGAGGAGACTAATGTTTTCCTCACATACAGAGCTGCATGTCTTGAGGAAGACACTCCAATGACGTGAATAATACTGAGATGGTTTGGCCGTAGTGCTTATTTGAATAACTCTCTCTCTGGTCAAAATCATGGTTATCGATGAGATTTTGGGACTTGTCTAGGCTTTACAAGGCCTGCTGCCATCCTCATGATCACCGCCAAGTATTGATTAAGCACCCTAAGGGCCACCTATACATCCCAATTTTGAAGACCTCTGCATACATTAGCTACTGTTACGCGTGCACTGAACTCCTCTAGAACAAGCAAGCAGTAAGTGTATATTTTTCATAGTGTATCCACAATTAGTTCAGCTTCAAGAGGCCGTGGTTACCAAAGTCATAAAACGACCCGAGTGCTACCTCCTCATCATTGCCCCAAGAACAATATCACCAGATAGGATGTCTCTACTAACAACTAAAAGTAGCAAGGTTTTGACTACTATATGCAAAGCGATTAGTAACTCATTGACACTTGGGGGTGCTACAGGAGCAGAGCACTACTGAAGACAGATTTCGACCCTATTGAAATCCGAGCATAAAAGTGGCAAATTATGCGCGTTGCAAAGTATTAACAGCAAAATGTGATTAAGCCATTCAGCTGAAGAAAAAAAGCTAGTGGCAACGCCAGACAAAGTACCGTGCTTCATATTAGTTTCCTAGTACTTAAAATACTTCCAGAATATGAAAAAATCTGGAGAATTTAGCTATAGAAAAGATAAAAATATTCCGAAGTCAAATGATAGCATACAAAACCATCTAGTCTGATGATCGGCGATCCTCGGGACACTTTGCTTTGAAAGCCGCCTTCATTTCCAGCCGCCTTTTTGCTCGAGAGTAGCGATTATTCTCCTTTTTCTGGGCCTCCTTACGACGCACCGCACCTGCGCTGCTGTCGCCATTAAAATACTCATCCAATCGCTCCTCTAATCGCTTTCTGGCGATAATTCGATTCGCATGCAGATCCCTGCCATCCTAAATAGAATTATAGATCAACAGGCAAGACACAAGTCACTCGCCTGACATTTGATGCAGATTCCTGTGGGAAGGTGTTTGAGACGGACGCAATTGGCAGTCTTGTTAATAGCTTGTCCACCGGGTCCCCAGCCACAGATAAACGTCTCCTCCAAGTCCGATTCGTTCAATACGATGGATAAAGCCTCTTTGTCGTTCCAACGTCCTGTAAATGCGTGGAGAGAAGCCGCATTGTGCACCTGTGCCCGAGTGATGGACAGTAGCTTCTGCACCACTGGTTTCAGCATTTCTAGTTTAAAAGACTATCATAAACATGGAGAGCGGAGCTTCATTTCACCAACAAATTTTTCCAATGAAAAATTTAAACAACACGGAGCAATGAAGAATATAAAAACAGGATAGTGCTGATATGCATTTAACCGATCGTTCCAGAGGCTCCATAGCCTCATGCTTTCTAATTAACACGCGCAAAGTCGAAGAGAGAAATGGCTTGGGAGATTTGGACGAAATCGATGTCACTAATATTGTAATGCAAAATATTCGATACCAACACCATTTACGTAGCTGCTCAACTAAGCTTAGATCAGTCACCATTAATGCCAATGCTTTCCACACTAAAGTAAGAAGTTGAATATTTCGGGATCGAACAATGATAAAGAGGCGAAAGCCCGTGCCCAGCTTTTGTATTCATGGTGCATCACCCTCACATTTGATTCAACACGACTCGCCTTAGCACAATAGCTCATACTATTATGAATACAAATAAAGCCTATGCTCACAGAAAGGTTTGCAAATCTACGCCGACCCCTACAACACACGCAAATGAAATTTTCCTATGCACACCCATAAAATCTAGTTGTCCAAGAGAGCAAAAAATCACCAGTAATAAATATAAGCCCTCTTATGAAATACGAAAATGGAGACTTAGCACTAGAGATAGGACCATCAAGCAGAAAATCCGATGGGAGAACAAGATATACGTCACACACATTTTCAAACCTCGCGGTTTTGAAAGGAGCACGTAGGTTTAGGGCCCAAAGGAACCTATTGGCTTTAAACTAAAGAGTCTCCGGCTAATAAACAAAAAGTTTATAAAGAGAATTAGTCTATTTATTACTCTCATGTTTTGCACTTGGTGATTTCGAAATCATGGTCACAATTCAATACACGATTCCATAATTGTAGGTGACATGATATCACAATCTAATAACCATTTACATATAAGCTCTTTTAAATTGAGAGTACTTGTGCGTTGCAGTTTAATCGACAGTTAATCTTATCAATTACCTCTTTGCTCTAGCAAATACATGTACTCTAAATAACGAGCAAATCTGTATTTCGTACGAAGAACAAGAAGGCCTTCCCGGCTAGAACCATATTACTATTAATGTTCATTTTATTTCCCTAAATGTAATAAAAGACAATGGAATAAAAAAAGTTGTACAGCATAAGTATTCGGTTGCACAACAAAATGTTTATATTTGCAACCGTTAATTCAATTGTTCCTCCACGTTTAATAGAACGTTTATCCACTTTCACTAGCTAATTGCTTCAGAATTCATATATGCAAATTACATCAGTCTTTTTTGCTATCATGAGAGTCCTTATCGCTTTCGTTCACAAAATTTATGCTCTATATGATGGAAGTACCATACGGGCGTTGTAATGCGACATCCGTTAACGCACTTCAAGTGGTTGAATAAAGACTTAGTTGCCAGTCCCTGAGAACGTGGGCTTCCTCCAATTTTGGCAGTGGACTACTGCGAAGCCTCGCGAACTAAGTCAATAGCCTTCTGTCTTATCGTTTGTCGCCAACTATCATTGTTCCCAAAAGTACATAATTTCCGCCAGATTCGTCTCCTTGTCCATATCCCAAAATGATCAGTAATTTCTACTTTGCCTCTCCATGATAGTACTACCCTAACTATCTTACATTTTAGGCTATTTTGTAAAACAACACTACAATATTATGTCAAAATCCAACGATGATGCTTACCGGATCCCCTTCATCATCAGTGCACCTACAGCACAATCATCTGCTCACGGCTAGTTCTACAATCCTCTTTCTCGTCAGGGCGGATCAAATATGTGTTCAGCATGCAGCTTCCAACTGCTACAATCGGAAGCTAGCCTAGCAGTCACGAAACCGCACAAACTATTTACATGTTCCTACGTAGTTACTAGGACTAAAAAAGCCTAAACATCAGCCGATGTCAACTTTCGACCTCTTCTTTTCTTCATTAGTGGGTGGAACTACTCGTGTTTATACGGTGCCACGTATTTCTGGCCTCGACATGTAAACATACTCCTTCACTGCTAGCCTCGCTGTCTCTACATTTCAGAGTTTAATACTTAGCAAAAATGTTAACAACGGAATAAACATTAAGATACCTTCTGAGCCGTTAAATAAACCATTTTACAAAGCATAGCCCAAAAAGTATGTCAAGAGGCTAAAAATATCCATCTATGTTGTATTTATAAAAAGAGCCAAGCTATCGAAACCACAAAATACCCACTGAATTCGGTCAAATTTGAGTCGCATACTAAAATAACCGCAATCACGCGGAGGAGTTACTGTTAGAGTGGGTGAAATCGTCCATTTCATCGGGGATGTTAAATTGCTGCTTTACTCTTTGGAGGAGAGGTAATAGTTGATCAGTCAACGACTGAATCTGAGGGTCCACCAGCAGCGAGGCCAAGCGCTGTGATCTATCCCTGCGGGAAAAGAAATTAATCGATATTGACTACTATTGAGAAAATAAGTAGACATCGTTGTAGGGATGTGAACTTACGCCATTGTAGAGGGCTCATTTTCATCGCCTTGCAAGCGAGACAGTAGCTGTTCGGAGACGTTAGAAGGAAGCTGTTGGTTTGAATTCTCTGCTCTTTCCTGATTCCCTTCACCCAACAACGACTGGAGGAAAGTGACAGCTTGTTTCAGTATCTCCGCAAACTGAAAGACCGCAGTGAACGAATCTGTTGAACTCCCTGAAAGCAGGTTGTCCAGGGTGGTTAGCAGTGATGAACTCTGAGTTTGTGTCGACGAAGACGCAACTTGTTGGACTAGAGACCGTTTTGCCTGAAGTTTGAGACGCTGCTTCACCGATTCCGATTCAGACAGTGATGGCGGGGTCGATGACATTGACGGTGATAGCACAGGTTCTACCTGCCGAGGCTCACTGTAGGCCAGGTGTTCCATTCCACAAGACTTAACCTCCTAATGCAAAAAAAAATTATCAGTACTGATCCTGCACTGTGGACCAGGGAGCCTTTAAAGCGAAGCTTACTGCAAACACAAACTGGATTACTAACTATCACAATACTCCAAGCAATAAAACAATGCGAAAGATTCCCTTACCATAGCAACCTGTTCGTCCTCTCCGGATGACAACTTGTTCGAAGAAGGCGAGGAAAGGTTCTCCTTGGAGGAGCCTTCTGAATGCGTAGACTCTAGAGGACTAGAACTGTTGTTTCTTGCTGTAGCACCAGTAATCACAATATTCCCCGTAGCTGTGGCAGCATGAGTGGTGGCTCTGCCAAGGTTTGGATGATGGAATGTAATGTGTTGAGCAAGACTCTTCCACATAGGGAAGGTCATCTTGCAAAAACAGCAGCGGAAAGCCGATGTCGTTTTCATCTCGCTGTCACTAGGCTGACTGCCATCACTGGCTTGGCCAAGGGTGTTACAGTCGGGTGAGACGGTCGTATCTCTCGATGCTTCTGAGGTATAACATTGGCGCGATGTTGAAGGCTCACTCGACAAGTCTGTGGTTGACCATCGAAGCAACCGGCTCTGTCCCTGTCGTCGATTTGCTTTGTACTGATCCAGGGTTCGACGAGCCTCCTCATTGCTCAATAGTATCACCTTTCCCTCCCTGCCATGCATAATTTTCATATGCTTTCTTAGATCCCACTTCCAGTTGCTCCTACAATTTGAAAAAGTTTTTTAAATGAACAAATAATTCAACGCTCCGAAAAGAGTTAGAGGGAAGCGTACCGATGACCGCAGAAAGAACACATATAGGGTCTGATGTAGCCCTCTCGGTCCTGCTGGCCTGTACCAGAGCCGTTGCTGCAGGATGGATTCATTTCATCACTACAGGGCGCTGATGACCTTCCATTGCGGCCAAATGTTCTCACTCTTTCTAAATACGCTGGGAGAGTGCTTTTAGCCTCATCTGAGTCCATAGTAATGGTAGTAACATCTGGTCGTTCTGGATGCGCCACTCTTATGTGTTTATTAATGTCCCACTTCCAGTTGGAACGATGACCGCAACTGGAGCATCTATAGGGTTTATAAAGCTCTTCACGACTAGTCGATCCTCTTGTGGATCGGGAGGGTTTTGTGGATCTTCGCTTGGCTGGAGGTGGACGGACGTGTGAAGACGAGGCTTGACTCACATCAAGTGAACTTGTCAAGAACTCCGTCCTACACACCAAATTCAACGGTTCATCTGTATTGGTGGAGGACTGGGACTGCTGATGGAGCTGACTGTCTACAAGTTGTGTTGAGAAGGTTCCTGTGGAGTTTGCTTCCTCTTGTCCAACATTTGGCATAAATTGCTAAAATATAAACAAAAAGACGATAAATGGAAACAAAAGAAACATTCATTCCCTTCACTCAGACTGATCAACAACATGCAATGGATGTCGTCTCAAGATGCACATGGATACAACATACTCATGCATCGTGAAACGCACCTCAGTGAACCGTCTATAAAAGAGCGGAAATTTAAGTCCCAAGTGGAGTAGACATTGCAATTATCGGTGTAACCATTATGGAAAATTAAGCCATTTCAAAAAGTAGTTCAATGCATACGATATCACCAAAATGCCTCCCACCAAGAAGGGCTCAGCGTCAAAAACTAACGGCCACCTTATCAAAGGGCAATGAAGCCTCATGCATGTGGTGATTTTGCAACCCTCCTGCAAAATGAAGTCATATAACCTGCAAAAATCCGCTTCTCTGGAGGATGTAAGTCGCACACTGTGGTAAAACCCCGTAAGGCCTTTTGATAGTGTAAACCATTCAAAGACAACCATGCGTGGGAGGTTTCAGTTCATCATCAAAGCAGTTATTCCTGTAAACACGCAGCGGAGGAGGGGAAAGTCCACTGCTGGACGCCCCATCGATCCTGTCTTAGCTGAGACAGGATACGAGGCGATACTTCACCTTCTCCAAGGCCTCGTCTAGCCCAATTTAGAGTCTCCAGCAATTAGGGAGCTTTGAATACCAACACTGCCTCTAAAAGCCTGCCTGCGGTTTGCAGTATGGTCAAAACTCTGCCTCTATTATGAATGCATTTTTTTTGAAACCCTCTTGATGGTGTTGAAGGAGGATGAATATTGGTTCACAAACATGCAGCCTGCCTAGCTGGCTCGCATGCATACACAGGAACGTGAACTCACACTGCTGCCGCGTTGTGTAAACAAAGAAACGGGGACGATTGCTGGGTGTGTGCAATCACACACACACACACACGAACACCTCTGGCTCTCTCTCTCTCACTCTCTCTCTCTCTCTCTTAGTCGACCTCGTGCGTTGTAAACAAACACGCGCCCCAGAGTGCGTGTGTGCCACCACCCATGCCTTCGGTTGGATCCTCTTCTTTTGTCCTACCCGCCCAGCCTTGTTCGTCCCAGTCAATTGACTGAAACACAGTCTACATCGCCATTCCACACCCTTGCCTCACACCCTGGGGAGAAAAACTCGCTCCTCCTTCTCATCACACTTACGTCACAATCCTGATCCGTGTAAATAGCGGAAAATACCAGTCAAATATATATATAAATATATATAACTAATAGAAAACGCCTTGAAATGCGGTGCATAAGAGCACCACATAAGCTTATCACCAGTGGTCCAACTGGTCCCATTGTAAGCGTGATGAAAATGCTACTTTTATTTTAAGAGACCCCTATCTTGACAAACAACCAACTACATGTCTATTTGTAAACAAAAATTAAACCAAAAAAATAATAAAGAATCATTCGGCGACTTAAAAAAGCAGATCAAAGCCTTCCACTAACTCTCCTCTTCCTTCTTACAACTAAAATGTCCTCCAAACAGTCCGCCAGTAAACAAAGAGCGATGTTTGCACTTTTCCTCCCCCCCCCCCTCGTCAAAATGCATGAACTAAATGACCGAATTTTTTGATCACATCCCCTACCCAACTCCCACAATCAAGTGGATCCCCGCCGCCGAGGTCTTTCTTGATAGGCGACCCCAAAAAAAAAGTGCTTCCATGCTAACGTGTGTGTGCAAGCACCTTCCACTGCAGTCATTAGAGGTGGTTACTTCAATTGAAGAATAACTTGTGCGTAAACGCGAAATTATTTAACGCCAATTCAAAATACAAACAATGCATAAAACACACAATGCATATTTGCGCATCTACTTGCACGAGAGAGCCAGCCGTCAGTTCTTTATGGCAATGCGTCTACAAGTATCTCTTTGTGTGCTCGCCGCACCTGCTCGCTACCTCGTCCGTTTGCATACGAAGTCGTAAATTTTTGCTTTTAGCTCATTAACACCTCTGCTATTGCTGGTTAGTGGTGTCACAATTGCAGAAGGCCACTGCTTGTGAGTTTATGTGAGAGAAAAAAAGTTGTTGAACAGTGTGCTCGGTCTTCATGGTCATCAAGTGCCAATCTCACCGCTAAGGCAAAGTTCAAAGTCTACTCAACTTACCAGCCAGTTCCAACTGCTCAACAGGGAGTTCAAACTCTCTATCGCTGGCGGAGAAGTTACAGTACTCAATGGTGACGAATAAGGCAGAGGTGGGGGCGTTGAAAGGACCAGATCTTGCGATGGCTGAGGTGGTGAAGAGCTGGGTTGGGGCAGCGCTTGAGGTACATCACTTGGCGGCGAAAAAAGGGAAGCGAAGGATTCTAAGGATGGATAAAATCGTGGATCCAATCCCTGCAAATTTGGTGGAAGGTTTAAAAGGGTGTTTATGAGTAGTTGAGAAGCTGTCTCTGTTGTAGTTGGACCGCTTAAATCAGCGTGAGACGTTGATGGAATTCCAGGAGGAATTAATGCGTCTCGAGACGCTTGATGGTTTGGGGAATTCTACAACCAACAATAAAAATCTCACTATGCAAGTGTCATAATGGAGAGAAGTAAAAAAAATAAACCTTGACAAACACACCACTGATGTTATAGGGGAAGACCTCTCAACTTGCTCCTCATTTGAGTCAATAGCAGTCGTTCCAGCATTGTTTTTAAACTGGGCCATAATTCGAGCCAAATCCTCATCACATTCGAATTCGTCTTTGTGATGTGATTCCATATGGCGCTTGAGATCGCCTTTCCACGCCGATTTGTAGGCACAGAAAATGCAAGCAAAGGGCTTTACACCCATATGCAAGCGTTTGTGACGTCTTAGTTCGCTCAAGTACTTTGCATCGTACTTGCAGAACTGACACTGATACGTCCCTGCGGAACGACTGCTTCTAGGGCAATCCGTAGTGGTGCCGCCATTGGCAGCACTTCCACCACGACTGCAGTTTCGAGAGCTCTTAATGATTCCGTGCACCCTTTTCATGTGGTCGGTAAGATCGCCATGCCAAGGAAAACTGTTCGGGCATTTACTACACCTAAAAAATAATCAAAAAACGAGAAATAAAGTGGGGAACTTTGACAATGGTTTGGTATGGAGTTGTAGAAGAGCGAATCACCTCTTGTCTTTATCATTGCAAATTAACTGCATAACTGTTAACCAAAGGCCCAAACACATGCATCCACCCACCCACCCACCCACACACACACACACACATACAGGAAATTCAAGCTACGATCCGACACATTGTTACTTTCAGTTAAGTCCCCAGAAGTGCAACATACGCAACACACCTGATTCCAAGTGTAACAAAAGACTCTCTCTCTCTCTCTCTACAGCAGCAGTTGCAGTAGCCGAAACCGCACTTCATATTTCTGCCGGTACACAGAAGACATGGACACCAAAGACCACCTCGCCAGTTGCCAAGACCACTATCCCCTTCATTGCATCTACACAGCCACTGCCTCATAGAGCACTCAAGGGAAGTCAAGACAATTCAGCCTGTCACTGCAATTGGCAAACATGTCTTAATGTCAGGACACAATGGGGGAACAGATTCCTCCAAGGCAATGAGTATCCAGAAAGGTACAGTATTTTGTTACTTTTACTGCCTAGAAGCTTACACCGCACTTTAAACCAACAAAATCACTGAGGTATACTCTGCTCTCTTGGAAGGCATCCTAAAGGCTACCTGCGAATGAAATGAGTACAGAAAAAAGAGAACAATACAATCATTCCTCGAACAAAGGAGCTTACTTGTACCGCCGCCTTGAATCCGTCCGAACTGGTACATTCCGCAACAGCGATGAGGAGGAGCATGGCTGATCCTCAGGCTGAAGCGTGGGGATAGTCTGCTGCGTTTCCTGTGACGATATGCTCTGATCAGGATTTCCAGGATAAACGGTGCCACTGGTCTGGAGTGTAGACATCCCCGGAAAGGCGATGGCTCCAGTTCCAGGAAAGGCACGAGCTAGCGAAATTAGAGTGTTAAGTTGTGCAGACATCTCGTTGACGGGGATCTGAGGGGCAGAGAGATGGTCATTTTGTTCTGAGGTCTGGCCGTGCTCCGAAGGCAGTGTCGCTCTATGCACATTCACCATGTGCTCATCAACCTCGCTTGGTGATCTGGACGCAAATGGGCATTGCGGGCAAAGACCCAAGGTGTCTGTTGTCTCTGGAGGATTGGCTTCTGCTTCTTCCTGCTGTTGTTGATGTTGTTTCATGGGATCCGCTGCAAACAAGTGAAAAAAAGTTCATGAGAAGGCTTCAATTACCAACTGATTAGTCTGTGGAAATAATGACGTCTCCTGTGTTACCAATGAGTCAAGCCTTGAATGCGTAAGAAATCTACAGATTTGGAGTGTAAACATTACAATTTCCATGACTTAATGGTGCGAACATTAGCGATAAACACATGGTACAAACTTCCAAGAGCTTTGCATCTACGTCAAATGCCAGTACAAGTGTTTTGCGTCACTGTCAGAGGCAACGAGCAAACCGTGGAGCCGTCCGATCGCGCGTGACAGGGTAGAGAAGAGATTGGCTTAAGACAGATCACCCTAACGTAGGGCGGATTGCAAGCGAGTGTCTTTCTACTGCCTCTAGATTTTCTCGAATGAATCACCACCACCAACACCAATGCCATTATATTAGCGGCTAATCCTGCCTTCCCATTCCTCCCAACTTCTTCGTCTCCCCTCCTTCCCTTCCTGCCTGCTTTGCCTTTCAGCTCGGAAGCACACACAGACCGAGGTGACGCACACAGCACACTCACACGCACACGTGAGAGCGAACGAGGGAGTGTGTAGAAGCTGGCAGGGCAGGAGCCCCGGCCATTTTCGGACATGGAGGGAGCATGACTCATGCATTGCTGGGGTCCTGCTCGCATACGCACGCACACGCAGAAAGGGAGATGTGGATAGGGGATGAGGGGTGAGGGGGAGGTATCGGCACAGCTGGGCGTCACACAGTCATTAAGCTCCTTCCCAATGAGGATCGGCATTACCCACCCATCTACTGCACCACCTCCCATTTCCCCAACCTCATCGCCTCACACTCTATCATTCATGCCTGCCGCTGCTGCTACGCGCCAGTTCACGCATACACGAATGCATCCCATCAACACAGTTGATAATAATTATGGTGGCGAGGGTAGCTAGGCCCCAAAGAAATCCCACTGTAACTGTTCTAGCTTATCAATTATAATTCATGCATCCAGACTGCTATTCGTCGGAGGGGTTGCGCTTATGTATCCGGTAGAACATAATTGAAAACGGGCGAAGGTCTATTACAGTGCTTCTACCCCCAAACAACGGATGCTTAATGCACATGCACAGAATGGCTTTCCGTTCTCATGAATATGCACAGCAGAGAAGCATTAGTGGAGCCCCTCGTCCCGATTAACTCCCCTCCTTCCCTCCTTCCAGGGGAAGGTAGATTAATTAATGCTAATATCACGGAATATAATTATCATTATGCCTCTGTTGCATAAATATTTACTGCAGATCAGCCAACTCACCTGGAGGAGGTGCAGATCTACCACTACCGTTACGACGCGAATCATCCGAATTTGCCATTATAGAATCAGAAACTAGAAGAGGAGAAAAAAACACGACAATGAAGACGAAGCCCTGGTACTGGAATCAGCGACAGTAGCGATAAGGGCAACACGGGTCAGTGATGACGACAGCTGGTACCGTTCTCCTCTGCAATTTGTCCTACCTTACATGCCCGTGACCCCAGATAGGGGCAATGAGGCTACTTTATTGCCGATCAGGTAATAGTCGTGGTAAGTGTAGGAGCAGCAGTTGCCGCAACAGAAGTAGGAATGAGTGTTTATGCTACACTTGAGCGTAAATGCGTTGCATCGAAGTAAAATGTGAACCGTAAGTACACGTGTGTGCACGTATACACACACTGACGCCTCTATGACAGAAAAATTATTTATAGGAACTAAGACCAACAATTAACAGAGGTCAACTATGGGAACACCACAGCTCATACCCAGCAATAGGATGTCGAAAGCAAGAAAGTCAGAAATCATGGAGTAGGAGGCAGGATTAAAACAGTCTGGGAAGTCGAACATCGTGCAATCACAAGGCACTTCAGCCTATCAAATGGGTGGGAAACCGATTGAGACTACACCCTACATTCTAAGGTGCTAGAGTGGGTAGGTGGAACACCCAAGTAACATCATAGGAGATGAAGTGGAAAACTAAGGCCGCCACAAAACACGTGCACACACTTGTGGTCTCTTCCCGATCTAGCAGAGAAGATGAATGCATTCATGTGTCTGCCCATTTTGCGAGTCAGCGCTAACGGCAGATGGTGTGGCATGTTTACCCTGTTGCCAAGTCGATACCTCACCTCTTCGTCCGTCCGTCCGTCCATCCACCACCCGCCTGCTCGCTTCCTCCCCTTCCTCCTGCTCACACAAGTTCCCGTCCATTTCTGGTCTATGTGACTCACGCATTTTGTGAAGACGTCGTTACAAAAAATACATCTATTTGTACATGGAGAAGGCCTACGTTGCAATAGTGAAGGGTGAGTACTGACTTACTCTCCTCCAGTCATTAACTACTAACCGAACTAGGTCAATTAAAAGATGGGATAGAATGCAAAGTGCTATTAAAAACGTTTGATAAATTGATCGTCTAGGACTTCCACCATGGCTCCAATCCTTGTGTAGTCCGTGACTACCATCAGAGCGAGACATACGATTTCCTGATCACAGTGGGAAATCTCCAGAGTTACATGTGTGTTTGCGTTTACGCTTACAAGTGCCCGACAATGTTACGCGATCTCCTACTCCCTGCTGTCCCGAAAGGGGACTTGTCGACCCAGAATCCCTCCAAGAAATCGATACATTCACCCTTCTAAACCCACAACGGCCTTAGCCACAGCCCAGTCTGGTCCATTGCTATCTCCTCTTCTGCCCGATTGCACCAATAGCAATTGGGAGAGGAAGTCAACCTCTCTGCAAAGGATGGGTCCGCATGAACTAAAAGTCTTCACAAATGCCAAAGCTAAGCAATGCACCTTTTCCGCAAGCATAAGTCGTAAGCGACTTTCCTGTGAGAGCTGCCTCGGCACTCCTTTCACCTGTGTAGGTGATAGCGGTGCCGCTATCGTGCGGTAAACACAAGCTGCCTGCTTCTCCAATTTAATTACCTGCCAGGTGGAAGTGTTTATCCGAACTGGAAAATTCCACCTACAACAAAACAGCAAGTGCGCGGACCTGAGAGCGTTTGAATGAACAAAAACCCGGTTAATTGACCGCTTTTGATGAACTTCAACGTTAATTTCTTTTAATTGTCAGAATTATAGTACGCATATGGATTAAAGTAGTCTGAAGTTGACGTACGAGTGTTCTTAACCTCCCCTCTCCCACTTTTCCAATGCTCTTTCGAGAGTTTCTTACAGTGAGATGAAAGTTTGGTTGGAAGATAAAATAATTTAAATTCTTGATCACAAGATATGGTGGAGGATCTGTTAATTGACTAAGCAACCGATACCTGAACTATCCAATAGGTCAACAAACTAACGTATAGAAGAAAAAGTTACTTATCACAATGTAAACAAGTGAGGAATACTTGAAAAAGAGTGGCATTCAAGATCTAAATCCGACAATCCTCATATTTTTTATTCCCTCCGTATCGATGACAAGCACGTTGTTATTGAAAATTAATGAATCCTTTATTTGTCAGTGGTGGACTGGAGAAAACATGCGGGCAAGGCATTTTACTCCTACAACCACCAAAACCGCCAAACTCAGTCCCACGGTCGTCAGAAGATAGACACTTTCCTTGGTTGGACTCGGGCGATATCCCCCATCCCCAAATCTCGAATGACAGCGCGCCTCCCCCTTCAGACCCCACCCTCTATCAATTCGCCCTATCCTAACGAGCAGTCTAATAATAATCGAGAAGCAGTTGTGCGCCCAAACCATTAGTCAGTACAGGAGACTATTGCCTTCATTGCAGAAAAAAGAAATCTATCAAACTCACAAAAGCCGGTAAAAATAAAAAAATTAGGAATGAATAAGCCTGAAGTTCAATCAGTGGATTACATGTAGGCCTGTAGTCAAATAATTAACTCGGAAAAAAAATAAAGATCAACGTCCCTAATTATTTTCCTTCTATGAATGTCCGAGAACGGCATTCACCGAAGCAGCATTAGGCTTATTAGTCATGAGTCAGTAGCCCAAACCGCATAACTTAAAAGCACATCGTAAAACCCAAAAAAAGCATACATAAACGAAAGGCTACTTGCCTCTATCACGCTCCTACAATTCCTGTGAAACGCAAAACGATTAATGACAGCAAATACTCCTTTATATATACATGATTGACCAATGAGGCGTGAGTGATATTAACCACCAATTGGAGATATGTTCAAGCGCATTCACCACGCGCCCAACCAATGATTTGCCAGACTCTTAACAGCGATTTGATTGGTCTGGAGAGAGTTTCTGACTTCCTCACCGTATCTGACCGCAAAGATTGCTGCTATTAGCAGAAAGGAAAACTAAAGATAGAATATACATTGTTTCAAACATAGAAAGAAAAATGATTAGCATTGCTAGAGATTGATTGCCGGATATTTTACGGAGCAGCGAGTGTATGTGACAATTGATTTGTGTGTACTTTTTAGACAAGGCAGCCTAGTGACCATCGATTTTGCCGGCCTCCTGAGGATCGACTAAATCTCCTTTTTCTGGTAGCTATTATTATCGAAATGGTGACTATACCTGTACTCGTGTACTCATGGCTTAACCAGATTACACTCTCCCAAAATGGTTCTATGATAATGCGGGCAATCTTTGTATTTAGTTTATCAATTATCAGGCCATTTAAGCATGCTACATTGTTTGCATAGGGAAAGAAGGGGTGAGTGTTCATGACCGACCAGCATTGCTATAGGCGGAGGGCAAAGGTAAAGAGAGGAAGGGAAAGTTTAAGGTATGGGGTCACGTAAAGCCGGATGTGCACGCACAGCCACTAATGACCTCAGGCCAGCATTCCAGAAGACATCCCCTTTTATCACCTACACACACCTGAAAGGTATGATCCCCTCACAAAATAAGGAAAATTTGTTTCTTTAAGCCTTACTCAAACTTGCTGTCCATCATGCCTCAAGATTTTGTTTCCTATTATTGTTAAGGTAAAATCAATTATTTTACGGCAAGCCAGACTACTATGGCTAGAATAAAAGGCTGAGTTTATCTCGTTCTTTAAACATTCCTCTAACGGAGCAGGCCTACACGAAACAATGACATTTTTAACGCGTGTCAAGGATTTTGATGGCTTCATGTAGAATAGCATCCAATTTTCTTGGTGGTGGTATTTGGGGCAGCGGGGGGAGGTGTGAGTGTGATTTGAGTAGGCTTAAGAGGTGAAGGGGTGGACAACGATTGACAAGGCAATCACCATAATCATGTAAAAATATGACTGTTCAAACCAGTTTGCGGATTTTCATTAGGCGTCTGTAAGGTCAGGACAGAAAAGATGTCATGAGTCATAATGACAGGACACCAAATTGCATGACACCGCCGTTGCAACTTAGCCGTGTAGTTCCAGTCATTTGATTGCTTATTTTCCGTTATATAATGGAAACCATTCTGACGCAAGTGAAGAATGTATGGGAGAAAAAAGTGACATGAAAGTGGCACAATTTTGGGTAGAAGTCAGAGTGACGTTAGACGTCACAATCTTTCGGTCTATAAAACCATCAACAACATTAGAAAATGCAGACTAACAATTTTTTTTCCATTTTAACATGTAAACGAACGAGGGCTCGATGTTGGAAGCTTTCACGCTTTGCATTGACTTTATTTCCTTACATCCACAAAGGTCTCAGAGATTTCCAACCATCCAACTTTAGTCTACGTTTTGGCAATAAAAGGATGGATTGCAAATTTTGTGCTGGTTTGCAAATTTCATGATCACCTGTGTCTGTGATTAGCTGGTCTAGTAACATCTACTAAGAGCACTGGTTCATGGTGGGAGCACAGTGTTAAGTAAATCACTTATTGTATAGAAAGACAAAATAAAAATCAACATAAAGTGGATTCAAGTTGTGAGGTAAGCGACATATTCGCCTCAATGGTGTTCTCGATTTGCATTCCACGACGGTGACAATGGGCTCTTGTGTAAGTCACTAAAGCAGGCGGTCTAGTGACTTTGTTTCACTCCTCTTCTCCATCGATGGTGTCTGCCGGGACTGAGGCATGAAGGCGTTATTGAAAGGAGTTTTCATTCTTATGATTTCGTGTAAAATTTTGTGATGGATAACGAGGAAAATGGGATGACCAGAGGCGCTTCGGGTCAGAGATGCTGTCATATGCTGACTGCAGTAAACACAAATTAACAGCTAGTAAGATTTGCCTCAAATCCACGTCGTAGGTAATAGCAGCTTAAGCGAATCGCCTCTACAAGATTACGTAGAGAGGCTTTCAAGGCTGGCAACAACCTTCATTTTGCATGACAAGGGATTTAGGAATGATCGATAGGTCTAAAAAAAGAGGACCTTTTGGTAGGTAAATTTGGGCTTTTCCTTCATCCAGCATCTCAAGCGACTCGGTGTCGAAGGCGGCTACCTCCGATGCGGTCTTTTTACCTACGGTCACCTCCAATTCTTCGCCAGATCAGTCACACTAAACACGTTGTCGAGGAAAAAGGGACGACCGGAAGCTGGTTTGTCACGTTTTTGATTTCCTTTTCAAAGGCCTCCCTTCACAACATGAAGGTTGTAGCTCCTTTCAGTGCTTTTGTGTTGGTGAGTTTGTAGGTCAGGTTTTCGATACTCACTCAGTTGCAGAAGGTGCTGTAATATGTATTAAAGTTTAAGTTGATCTTTATAGAGATGAGGCGGGGAACGAAGTGGAAAGCGAGTCCGGTGTGTGAGGATCGTGAGGACCCTACCTTCCTCCGCGTGATATCCGCTATTCGACTCATCTGTACCTCAATGCCCGTTCTCCCTGCATTCAATGCCTCTTGATGTTCGGAGTTTAAGGGCATGAGGGTAGGCAGGCAGCCTCTTCAAACTCGGAGCTTCTGCTTGGCAAAATCAGACTAAGTTAGACATTTTAAATGCTTTACTTGCATATATCGAGGCGACAAGACTTTAAATATGACCTTTTATTTAAAAAAATTATTATTATGGCAAAGAGTTTGAGATTAGTAACTTAGATTTTTCTACCATGAGGAAGTAGTCAACACTTCTACTATCTTTCGTCTCCCTTAAAAATTAGAAAAACGACGACAGGTGAGGGAGTCCTAATGGTCGCATTTAAGACTTCTGCACGCATTTGCAGTCTGCACTCGTCTTCATATGCAACTGATTGGTTCGAAGTTGTCACAGTGTCAATATGGAGAGGAGCTACTGTCAATCTTTCCTTCTCTTTCTCTTTCACTGACCATGTTTGACAGCACCTAATGACGGATGCCAAAGTCATTGGAGCGAAAAATACGTTTACACTCCTTTAACGAAGACGGAACAAGAATAAAAGGGATTTACCGCATTCAAGCCAAAGCTGTGATGACGTCTGTGTTCGAGTCTGCACCGCAGACCGGATTAAACGCCATCACTAAATGCAAAGGTATTAAGGCACGAATTATCTTAGCTTAAGATGTGAAGCTAGCAAAAGGTCATTTATAATCGCTTCGTGCTTCTAACTTGAAGGGAGCACCTCAGTCTTGGCTTGAGTTGCGATTCTCTGAATTTTGGCAGCTCGTTTAAGCTACCTCGGACACCCATATGCATCCAAGCTTTTGGCCCACAACCATGAATGTGCCTCTCTTTTACCACCCTAGAACGAAATCTAGAACGATCTCCATTTAAATTTCTGTCCCTTTTTTGAACTGTCAACATCTGTCAATCCTTCAAAGTGTAGATGTCGGGCAAAATTTTAAAGCCAACACCAAATAGTTCATGTGTCTGTGGATGATTGCCAAAGAAAGTATTGTCATGCAGTACGCATTGCAACGGTGCACACTTCAAGAGTAATCATCAAATTCTATCGCAATCTCATTTGTGTCAATTGGCATGGAAATCACCTTCCGCCACGCAAGTTAATACAATCACATGAGCTTGTCATGACCTGAGGCAAGGCTCACTGAATGAGAGCCTAGTAACAAAATGATGCCACCGAAGTCAACGTACTTCGCAGTCAGAGGTGTGCAAAGTACTTCCCAATTCCGTGCCTAGGCAAATCCACCGCAAGCCGATCCTCGCGTCCACAGGATTTCTCAAACTTGGCACCCTTTTGACAGACGTATAAATTTTATGGGTTTTTAAGACAAAACTGACCCTCATTTACAAGCCTCTTGCCTTTAATTAACTCATGATTTAAGAGGAATGTGGTGACAGCGAACATTGTTGACCCATGCAATGGTGCGACCCAAATTTTGATGACCTCTAAACGAATGTTCGACATTGTGAGTTAATCTCGCCAGATGTTCCTTGTTTCTTGCTAATACCTCACTTTTTTTGCCTTTCCTCTCCCCCCCCCCTCCCTCCTGCCCCAGCTGCCTCGTTTCCTGGATTAGTCATAATTTGAATTTCAATTAAAGGCACATCCCCTCCCCTGTGCTCCCCCTCCCTCCCTTCCTCCCTCCAATTATCTCATTCAGCAACGAATGTTACACACACATCTGATGTGATTACAGAATAAAGAAGCTTGTCATTCATGTTACCCTTTTTATCAGCCTTTACTTAGACCTCAAAGCTGTGATTAAAAATGATTGCCAACCTTCAACTCCCCACCTCGATGCTAACATGACATTTGACAAACATTTTAATCATTTTAAAGGCATCTCAATTGTACGAATTTGGTGTTCTCCTTCCTCCATTATACAAATGGTTACTTCTTTGGTTGGGGAATGAGTAGCAGTGGAATGAAAATTTTTATTGTTAAATCACCTCTAAGCTGCCAGTTGCGACCCTTTTTGACAGGTTAGTGGTGAAAGAACAAAAGAACAAAGATTCCCTTCCATCCGATTGTACCTATAGAATTTGTTGTCATCAAGACTTCTCTTCCTTCCATTCCACTCGTAAATGAGCGAATGGCAGTTCCTCGACACAATAGCGAGTCTACGGTTGACGTCGGTCTTCTCAGCGGGCGCACGAAAGGTCTAGGTAGTCTCAAAACACCTCCTTCAATCGCTGTTTTCCAAAACTCGGAACCCTTACACAGCCTCTACCGTCGTGATTTCAACGACGTTCCCAAAACCCTAAGGCAGTGTTTGGCTCTCACCTCCGTTGACGATTTGCGTGTCTCTTGGCAAACATCGCTAAAGCCATGTCGATGCGGAAGACAGCGGCATTTGTGATCTGTAACACAAAATTTTGCCTCATACGAAAATAAATTTGTGCCTACAACTGCTGGACGTAGTCTCGAAAGCAGTCATTGCTCCTCGTAATGGAAGATCCCAAGATACTCCCTCCTAACTTGGGAAATAAACAGTTTCTCAGTTGAGGCCAAAAGCTAAAGTCTCGCCTCTTTCAAGCTTGACTTTACGAAGCCTCACCTACATAGTGGAGAAATGAGATCTTAAATATCCAGCAATGTTAGTACTTTGGAGTAGATCCCTACTTCCTTCCATTGTTTCCGTCCAGAATTGATTGAGTCTCGGTTATCTGATTTACTGGTAGGCAGATGATGGGAATTTGTGCCTCGAATCGACCATTTGTCGTTAAATTCTTTGCTGATTTAGTAAAAAGGCGTGTTTCAAGCAAATGATCCCCAGCAAGAACCTGTCCAAAGGCGTCAGCATCCACTGAAGTAGGTCTTGCATGATAAATAGGCTCAAATACCTAAAATGAGCCATGCAATTGTCTTGACTGAACTAACGAAATGGCGCTCAAATATTTCACTTTAGTTGCATGCGCTGACTGACATCAGACGAGGCAAAGGTCACAGAGTTGTGAGTTGATTGCTTCCAATTCCCATCAGTAGTGGAAACCAATCTCATTTCCATAAGGACTAAAGGGTGTCGTCTAATTTTTGTGTCATTTAATACATGAAAATGCGTTCTGGGTGTTAAAGTAGAAAAGAAGTTGGGAAAAGGAAAGGGGAGAATCTTCAATTAGCTCTCCTCCAAGGTGTCACCGCCAAGCAGTGGAGTAGGGTACAAAGGCGAGATCGCATTCCAACCTCTCACTACAAACACACGTACATTCTATGCACAAGCTCATTCTAGTTTCCATTTTTTAGAAAATGTGTGCATCTCGTTGGATGCAAGGGGGATAGAGCGAGACGCAGTGAAGCAGACTGGTCATCTCTCTCACACACACACACAATTTAACGAACAGAAGCTCACGTCACACGACCTTTGCTCCCCTCCTCTTGAGAACAAGCAAACACAAATAGGCAAACACACTTAACATCGCAGGCTCTCGTTCAGGGCGGAAGTGTATGTGTGCATGGTGGGGATGAGAATGCATTTCTTGATTCCACTGGCACCCACTGTTTTCATTGGCTGCCATCAGATGAGGCAAATCTCTATGCCCTGTCCTACCCCGACTGACAGATGTGTAGCAGTTTTTAAGTTGCCAGAGAGATTCCGTCAACTTTATTTTAGTGTCATTCGGTTGCTGATGTTGTTGTTGTTGTTGTTGCTGTGGTTAAGGCGTTAATCCTCCCGTGTTTGCTCCACGGTGTCATGATCTCGCAGTTTCCCACACCTTAGCAAGAGTTTCACATCGAGGGGGAAAGGGGGAGAGGGAAAATTTGTCATAAGGTCATAGTTTAAAAGTTAAAAATTAAGGCAGGAATGTGGAGCTTATCCATTGTCAATATGAAAAGCTGTTTAAGTTGGACTTTGTTTGCTGCCCTGTGCGGGCACCAAAACCCAATCATCAAGATAAAACACTTTTCGAACGGCTAACCCATAAGCCCGACAACTACATTGGGAAGTTGACTTGTCGTATTGGTTTTGAGGGTGCGTTGAATTATGCTTAAGGGGAACAGTCAAAAGCACGCCTCTAGGATGTGCCTCAGAGGTGAAGTGACAACCGCCGACCACAATCGCTCACCTTTCCCTTTTTGACCTGCCCACCCACGATCTACAGGCTGTCAAAGAGCTCTTTTTTATATCCAATTTGTATGACGCTAGAAACTCTCATTTCATGTCTCCAAAGGACAAATTAATTTAAAAACTTAAGTAGCATTTAAGTAGTATTTGTGGTCGAGCTAAGCTCAGTTATTTTGAAACAAAACACTTGCCAATGCAAGGTGGTCTCCTCGTTACAAATGCGAGTCAACATTTTTATTTTAATATTTTTTTACCGTCTTGAAGTTAAATAAATTTGCGATTGCATTTAACTTTCGCTTTCAGTTGGCGACGTAAGCAGGAAACGGTGTCAGGAAAGTTTTCCTGCACCAGACAGCAGGATTATTAATCAGAAATTAATTAAAATTTCAAATCCCATTTTAAAAATACATCTTTTTAGTCTTTACTGTAAGTGGCCTTCCCTTTCCCCTTCCCACTCAGTAGTCTGGACGATCTCGACGTCACGAATGAGTGAAGGTGGCAGAAAAGAGGACTCCTATGTCGCATTTTTGCGAAAATTGGACTGAGGCAGTTGGATTGTCGCATGCGTCCCAAACCCCTTTCCTCACATTTTCAACACCGCGAATGAATGACAACCTCGGAGGGAGAAGATTTGCTCCCCATCAAACACACATGCGACAGTCTTTTAAACGAATTACTTGCACACTTTTTACTTAAAATAGCCACTCCAACAGCTTTACTCTCAATGCTTTTAGCGGTGATTTACGAGCAGTGTTTTGTGCGTGTCAAACTACTGCCACGTATCGAGGACTCCTCAGTTGATCACTGTTTGAGTTCTGTTTAAGTTAGAGAGCCCCATGACAGCTTGTCACTGTAAAATCTTGATGAGTACTCAGACCAGACTTTAGCTAATGCAACAAGTCTGACCGACAACTCGTCTGAGTAGTGCTCGGAGCAGTTGGAAAAAAAAACTTTTTATTTTTGGGCTATGACAACATTACCAGTCACACTGGGTAGCAATAATTATTTCCTTTCCCTTAGCGTAAATACATTCCTTGTTTCTTGGCCAAAGGTTTTAACAGATTCTGCAATAGCTGAATCGTCGGCGCCATGACAATGATTGGCTACAAGTACCAGAAAGTGAAGTGGAGATGAACAGGGAAAAGGACGACAGTCCAAGAGGGAGGAGAAGGAGGAGGAGGAGCCGATGCAGGAGCAGGAAGGAAAAGTGATGCATCATGTATTTCGAAAAGGCGTTTTCTTAATGCACTTTACCTCCAGCAATCAGGAAGACGGAGATGCACTTCCACATCCACCAACTTAATGGCCTAAGGCATTTACATTTATTCTCCCAAGTCCTACTTTTCACATCTCTGACCGAGTGGATTACGCAAGTAGCACTTCCTGAAAGCCTTTTCTTAACCCGGAAGATATTTGTCATAAAGAATGTGCCTAAAGAGCCATTCTCAGTCCGTTATTAGACGTCAGGTAGCCACTCTCTTTGAGAGGTGGGAAGTAAAGACGTCAGTGAATACCCTTCTTTTGTCGCCAATCTACAACAGCTGCACAATGGAAAATTATTCAGCCAACACTGCACCTGTTATGCACCGCTCAACGCAAGGCTATTCATTTCCTACTGCACTTGAAAGTGCGCGCTCTATTTAATCTCAAGCCTGTGGGAGTATTTTGACTTTATGACAATCGAAGCGGCACACCCTGTCAAAGCATCCCTATTTTTGTTTTCATCAAGTCAACCATTGATATTGAAAACCCAAATCTGTTGTGTGTTTTCATGCAGTGTTGTTTCAATTAAAGTAAACACTGAACTCCATTTTGCCATAGTCAAAGAGCCTCTGTCACAGTTTTGACATCTGACAGCTTCCTTGCACTCTATCATCACAGGTGTGTTGATAAGCCGAGATGAAAGAATGAAGTTCAAGAGGACCGAAAATAGGTGAAAATTAGATAATTTTGGAAGACAGTAAGCGAGTCAGTGACCTGCCAATGGTGCAATCGTAGGCAATTTCTGGCAAGAGCAATCACGCAGACCAAGCTTACATGCGTCATTGCTTTTGTTTATGTCAGAGAGCGAGAGACTTGGCCTTTCTTCCGACTAGGTGTTTACAGAGAGAGACGACGCCTTGGTAGGCAGGAGCACGTGTTGGTTAAACCCACTTGTCCAGCTGAAGCCGAATGCCAATCGCAACCTTGAAGCTTATTGCTGTGACTACATAGACGCTAACTTGCCTGCCTTGTGACCAAAACAGGGAGACTTGGGAAATGCGCCTTTACCGCCTTATTTAAGCCGGTATTTTCGCGGCCTTGACAGCTGACATGCCAATTTACCTAAGAGTCGGTTATAATCCCGTATATCTTTCCAGCCTCCATATATCAGGTATTTTTGGTGTCCGAAACTATTCTGAAGGAAAAATAGCTTGCAGATTGTTTCGTTGGATAAACTCCCTACTTAAATTTATATAAGTAAACAAAGTTCACTAAGAGGCAGCGTTTGGCGTTAAGCCCTAATTTATTTTAGGAAATTGAATTTACGCTCGCCTTAGTAATTTCATTTGAAGAAATCCTCCTTTACTAATATCTGATTTTTCTACAAATACAAGTGTTGTAGAGGTACCTTAGTTTGTGTAAACTTACTTTCCTGAAGAGTGTGACTGGCTAACTTTGCTCCTTATAGGATGGCTTTGACGAAGTGAACAATAAATTGTCTTAATTCTACATTCTGTATAGGTAGCCACTTTGGCGGCCATCTTGCTTCTGTCGAATGGAGTGGCAGTATCGCCATCCCCACTCTTTCTGTCTGAGTAAAAGGAATTCAGTTAAGTCTCATGCCTTCTCCTCTTAAATGGATAGCCTACGGACTACACAATGTTTGATTTTTGATAAGTGGCAGGGCCTAAAAGCCTTTTATTGGTCTACAGGGACGTCAACGAATTGTCGCCTTCGCCTAAACAATGCAGCACACAAAAAAACGCACTTATCGTCACAAGTAATATTCTTTTTAATGTTGATTGCCAGGCTAGAATAAGGTGTTTTTAAATTCTTATTCAATGTTTAAGTAGTCTGCTAGTCCGGAAGAAAATGGCTATGAACGGGTAACAAACAACAAAAATGCATAAGGCGGAATTTTGGGTAATCAATTTTTTGAACTAACCAGCAAATCAACCTCGGGAGACCAGTCAGAGGTCAGGGCTATTGGACCATAGCAACCGTAACACCTGGACCGCCACCGTCCGAGCCTATCCATAATCCTCTCCCCCAGGTCTTGTGATGTCTGAGCAAATTTGCTGTCGTGACCCTTTTCGGAGTCAGAATGACCTCTTCTCACCTCCTCCCCCCCCTCCTCCAACCCCACCGACGTCAGCAGTGCTAGCGCCCCAGGCTTGGAGGCTTTGGCTAATGCCTTTGTTCACTTTCAGTGTCCGCTTTTATTGAAGTGCCGAAATGACCACCTTAACATGACGGAAATGATGACTTTTTAACAAGCCGTTTTGGGGGCAATAAGTTATTTATGGGCGTTTGAAGTGCGGACAGGGGTTACAAAAACGGACAATGGAAAATGGAGTCGCAAAAGAATGTCTTTCGGTTACCACAAGTTGACAAGGCCTGCACTGACAGACAGAATCACGAGGGTACGCACCGAAGGGCAGACTAAAGCACTTCTACTCGTAATTTTTAAATAACCCCTTTTACAACGACTTCATCTTCTCGTCATTCGTGTGGTCAAAGTTGTACTTTTCTGTACTTTAAGGCAAAGAATCCTGTCGAGCCTGTCTGCACCAGTTGACAGCCTTCCATTCAATTGCACTCAACCTAATAGGCAAGTTTGACAGATTTTAGGCTGACTTAAAGAAGTGTAGAGAGGAAGAAAGAAGAGTTTTACTGGAAAGTTGAATAGGATACCGTAGCTTAAAAGCTAAAACAAAGTCCATGACACCTTCCAGAGTCGCAGCCCTCCATAGAGCTCACTCCACTCGATCCATTGAGTCACACAGAGACAGGGAGTGGCGAATCTTCAAGCGACCAACGCTGAAAGAAGTCTTAACCTACCCATTGTGCTCTAGAACCCGGTAAAGTTATCTCAAAACTCCCTTCCGATCACCGTTTCAAGTTGAAGGGATAGAAGGTGTCGCATTGCTATCGTGAAGAACATTTTGGCTCACTGGATTCCCGTGTCTCATAGAGGTGGTCGTTTGAAAGCCGCCATCTGAGACGCGGCATCCCTCATAGTCCAGAGCCTTAAAACAAATCCAGCTAAACAAGCAAATCAAAGCCTGGTGGATACACACAGAGGAGGGCTAAATATAGAAATAGCATTTGGACTGGAGAAAAATCGCGCTGGGCGTAATGGGATGATACAAAAAGTGGGGACAAATGTGAATTGGTGGTTGACACAGATTGGAGTTTGTGATAGACGAGCTTATTTCAGGCCACCTACTTCCCCTCAAATGTGTTTGCCAGAGAAAGCAGGCAGGATGCATTTTTTTTTTTTAACTAAAAAAAGAGTGCAAAGAGTCCTTGTGACATATTTGGTCAAAATGAGAGGGTTGTGATGTTGTAATTTTGTCATGTGAATGTAATCCGCTCGAGATTTTCCTGTTACGCTTAAAAGGTTTATTTCCAGAGTGGAAATTGCAGAATTTGTCAAGTGGAAGGGCTAGAGGACAATTGTATGGGGTCCTCATTTAAACGTCGCGTCCAGTTGTCTTCGCTGGTGGCCACGTCTGATGGGCATCGCCGTTTCGGTCTTCGGAATTTCGGCCAACATTGAACCATCGGCCGGTGTTTCTTTTAGGCTGTCTCAATAGTTCGTGAAAATTTTGGCCCATTTGAAGGACGTGTGAGGGAGAAGAGCGAATGTGCTGGCCGTCAGACTTGCCAGAGCCAGTGGTGAGGTTAATGCCACAAAACTGCAAGACGAGGTCTGGCATTACTGAGTGAAGGCAAGTTATCGCATTTGCTCCATCTTGCCAACTTGTTTTGCATATTATCCAACTAAGTGAGGAAACGAAGGAGGCGTCACGGATTTAATTAATTGACTTCTTCACCTCGAGGCTACAGCATTCCGCTTAGTAGTAGTAAACAGCATTCCAGGTGGAGCCTTTTTGTGATCCCCTTGAAAGGTGTGGTCGTAGATTTGACCAGCCCCAACCCACACCTTACTTTTTTCTTTATAATAGTAGCAGGAGGTTAGAGTGATTCTTTTTTTACCCACCATTAATGCAGCTTCTTTAGCCCTCTCTGAGGGTTGAAGGCCTGGATGGCTGTCGACGTGGCCTGAGGGCTGCACTGCTAGGCAGAAACTCAAGGGCGGAGCCCTAAGCATCGCGAGCTAAAACAAAACAGAGGGTTAGACAGTCAGTTCACTTAATGCATTTGCGTATCCCATAATGGCACATTTAATAAATCATCAACAGAGGAGTTATTCGCCCGCTGACCTAATCCTCTGGCGGGAAGTAGTGAGATCTACGAAAATCCTCCCTCGGCCAAATTTGAGTGTGAGGTTAAAAAGTCACTATAGTCATGCTTTACATAGGCTTCGGTCTGAAACTCAAATGGAATTGTAAATTTTAGCTTGCAAATTTCTGGTGGATTGATTTTAAAAGGGAAAATCAGTTGTAAAAAGCTGAGAGAATATTCCCTCGAGCCAATGGCACAAAGTGATTTCAACCAAGATTGCCATTCTAAGAACGTGGCAAAAAAACGCTTAGAGCGCTTAAAGAAGCGACGCAAATTGCGTGTGCAGAAACCAATTTGCGTTGGAGTCTTCTAACTTTCTGTAAGAAGAGGGAATGCTGATGGTGTTATTACCTATTTGGACAAAGCGCAATGCACAGTCACTTGAGCAGCAGAATGGCTAAAGAAATTTGAAGAAAATGAATAAAGTTTTCAGTAATTTGGTCAGCAAGTATCAAATTTGCGATGGTAGAAAGCGAAAAAAATATTTATAAAGGACTCCTTTGCAAATTTAAAGAGGCTTTAGTGCATATCAGATCTGTACATACAGGGGAATGTCACAGACTACTGATTTAGAGTTTGAGTAGCATTTAGCCACCAAGTGTTAGCCGCTTACCAATTTAGACGTTAATCCATTAGAATCAGCGCTGCTTATTGAGAGGGCAAGTGAAGGACCGATTTTTGAGGTAACAATAGAAGTTAAGATTTGAACACCTTACACATGCTTCCTAACAAACGTCATTTTACCTTTGCGTTACGAATTCTTCAACTGATTGCGTTTGACCCATTAAATGATAAATTCAGTGGTGATTTTCTCTAGAGCAAACACCACATTCCATGTGAACAGTCACCCATTCTTGTGTTGGCGCAAAACACGCAGCTCACACAGGCTGAGGGGCTTGAAACAGAAGCCCAAGTGTGGAGTGATCCTGCCGGAGGAGGGTTCCAATAGTTCCTTACTCCCTTTGCCAAGCCGGTGTTGAGAATTGTGCGATTTTTGACTTCACTAATGAACGTTTTTCATGTCTTTGCAAAAAAGAAAAACCACCTACATGCTATTTTGAGAGGAGTGGGGAAAAAAGGCTTATAATAAACTCCTTTTTAAGGCAGAACACAAGACACTTGCAAAAAGGCAGTCGAAGCACCACCATAAACAAACTTCATGACTGCACACAGGGAGGGAAGAGGCAAGTCTCCTTACAACCATCGCCTCAAGTTGCTGGTGTTAACTAAGTGGACGGCGCAAACACCTTTTACAAGGCTTTGGGTAGCACATTGCAGCACAACCTATACGGCAAAAAAAAAGGAATAAAGGAAGAAAATTGGGAAGGTAAAGGAAAATCTGGTGGGCAGATAAGAACCAATGAACTTCCAGATGGAACATGTGCAACGCGGTCCGCTTTGCATAATTTCCACTTGACTTCAAAAGTCCAAAGCACTTAAACCGCCACATTTACATTTAGGCAAAAAATAATTTGGGCGGTAAAACGGAGTGCCAGTCACGAGGGAGAGCACCTTTCACACTCAACAACCAGAGGCCCAATGAACAGCATTTTACACACAATTTTTAAAAGTTAAAAGCAATGGTTTTTTTACTTACCACTGCCTTAGCTTAACATATTACTCATTTTGATAGCAGCATATGTGCAAGAAGCTAAGTGGAAGGAGTGAAAAGTGCAAATCCGAGTGGAGCAAATAACTTGAGGTTTTGATGTCCGTCCATCTTACGGTGAGCTACGGAGTAGCCCACAATGATGGCAAACGGGTACTAAAATGGTTACAAAGTGAACGAAGCCCTGGAATGGGGACAGCAGCGTTTCTTTCCGCTTCGAATAAACCAAATCCCATTTCATTTTTACAGGAAGAAGTAATTGGAGTTTTGCAACCCGAGGTAGTAACGAACGAGGCCCATTTTGAAATATGAGAGAGAGAGAGAGAGAGAGAGTTTTAAGGCGATCGACGCAAGCAAATGCAGAATTGGGAACGGTTGTGACTGAGACATGTCTGTTTTGGATGCCACTCTTGATTACTTCTCCCCTCACTTTATAGTTGCCTTGGAGGCCACAAAAGGAGTAGCCAATAAAGATATTAAACTACATTTAAGGCTTTTATTTTAATCTCCTTTCTTATGCCCCGCAAGACGGCACAGGGCTCGACCCCTTACGGCTCCCTGATGCAAACTTTTTCCGACTACCAGCTTTAGATAAGCCTAAGAATGTCATGTCAGTTGTGAGAGAACGCTGATCTGATTCTGCGGGTCAGCTCTCCTCCCTCATCAACCTAAATGCTAGGGGCAGAGCTTGTAGAAGGGAGAATTTGTACGGACTACCAATTAAAGGCACAAAAATATAATACCCGAAATGCGGCGACGTGACCAGCTCTGCTATCCATAGGGCAGCCATTGACAACTTAGGCGGTAACAGCTGCAAGCTACGTGAATATTCTTCCGTTCGGAGGCGTCTACGAGGAGTTCCATTAAGTTAACAGTCCAGGGTAGCATTGATATGAGAACAAAGTGGCCAGGAGAACCAGTCCCTAATGAAGCGTCCCAAACCCTGACCTTTATCAGGCGACAGACAACAGACATAGCATATTCCCCCTCCCCATAATGCATTCCCCAAATCGAGGCAAACTCCACATCCGCTGGCGTCAAGTGAGGAGGTATGCGAAGTTGTTGTCGCACACTAGAAAGTCGATCAAAGGGTGACGCTTTTCATGAGGTCGTGTGCGCAAACCCACCAACCCTTCCAAAAGTCCCTAACCCACCTATTGTCCCAGCTTTAGTCCCTTTTGCCGCCTGATACCCGTTGTTTCGGATAGAATACAACATCCCGATTTCCAACAGTGCAAATAATTTTATTATACTTCTTTTTTCTTTTTTTTTCAACAGAACAATAAGCGACGCACATAGAAGGCAAGTCCAAACTATGCAAAAGGCGAATGTTGGAGGTCCCTTCGGTGCACTGCATTAATTTTGCAACAATGGCGCCTTCGCATTTGAGGCAGCACCAATTTAGAGAGTGAAGAGACAACCAAAAGAAGACACCATTATCCTTCTACCGGCGTGTAGTCGCTGATAAAATTTTACGTTTACTTTGGCTAGCCGAGGTGTACCAGGCTAAGTGCTCTACCTCAGACCAGGTCACTAAGTAATGCGGAGGAAAATGGGCGACGTCGGCCATAATTGTGTACGTCTAAAAGGCCAATGCTGGAGTTTTAGGCGCTTTTTACAATCATTTTCAGAGTCCCGTGAGGCTGGATTTAAATGCCGCACGAGGGTCTACACGGGCACGCGATTGGACTGTAGCAAAAAAACGTCGTGTTTTTGGTTAGATTTGCCATTAAGATGTCGCCCAAGTGGCTCACTACATGACTTCAACGTAAATGACGCTGGAGGTGTTGAATGTACCATGGGCAATGGATTGGGTGCTGATGACAACGGGCCCTGACAAAGGAAAAACAGCCTCAAAAACAGGTGTGTTTGAAGTGGCAGGACCGATGACCTACTGCCTCACTCCGATCTGCGGGCGGTCACGAAAAATTCCTAACGTAGGATGTTGAGCGAGAGAAGGAGGGGGAGAGAGAGAGAGCGATATTCCCTGTTTACTTATGGACAAGAAAAATTCAGATGGACAATCATTTGTTCGAGACTTTTTACCCAGACTGAAGGGATTGTGAATTTTCTCAATAAAAAATCATCCCCAGGAAGCAACATTAAACTCCTCCTCATGCAAACACTTCCGTTGAGGGCTAAGGAGCACCTGTTGGTGTAAAAAGGAAGGGTATTAAAAACGGATACAAATGGCATGGATATTGTGGGAAACAGGAGGTAATTTGATGGCGGCTGCTTACAAACCCTAACAGCGTCATAAATCGCTCCGCTTTATAGTAGCCGCATACTCTTAAAAGCAGTACATTAAATTGGCACTAAAAAGCCCTAACTTCATTACTTCAACTTGAAAGTGCACTCTAAGCTGAATTATGACTACTCCAACGGAAGGAGAAGGAGGTGCTTTATAAAGCGGAAAAATATGAATCTGAACGCACTTTTAAATGCCCCCGATCGGGTAAGATTGGTTCCAAATCCCTCAAAAATGGGACTCTGAAGGCGTCTTGCTAGGAGAAAATGTTATACTTAGATGTTTGAAAAGTGCTGATGCGGCGGACTGGCCCAGTAACTGAATTACCGAATGCAAAATGTCATCGTAAGCAGAAAGATGAAATATGGTTTTCTCTTAAGCCAAAAATTAACACAATTTACTCCCCGTGAGCATGATTTCCTTCATGCCTGCCTAAGAGTTGCATTTGATGCTGCTTTTTAGTGTACAGATGATGTAAAATTCTATGAATCCGCGAGGGAATGCGGCGACCAATCAGCGGCGCCCTGAGTGTCGTGTGTATAAACGGTTTCCGTTTAACGATGCTGACCGGAATACACAGTTTTCAAACAGCAGGTAGGACATAACTGATAACGAGGTTTCGTCCCAAAGGATGGTTGTTTTGTTTCTATCAAAAAGCGTCACCAAAATTCATGCTCTCAAGGATGTAGTTTTGCATTAAAAATAAGTTGATTCACGGTTTGGACTTTTCTTGAAGCAATAAATTGGGAGAGAGCATGAGGCAGAAAAAGTGATCCGTGGTGTGTACAAGTAATTCGAGTAAGTGTTGCCTTCGACTTGGAGGTTGGATGCGTGGGTGTGCTCTTCCACGGGGAGCAAAAGGTAACAACGTTTTTCCAATTACTGATGAAATTGGTTAACACATAAATGCAAAGTAAAAGAACAAACAAATGTAATGGTTTTGTCCATAGACATGAGTTTGGGGCAATGCACAAATTTAGTTCGAGAAGTCGCCTTTTTTTGTGCGCAT